ATACATACATACACACACATATACATATGTATATCCTACCGTCTATATGTATATATAGCATAATGAGTGTATATATATATATATATATTGATTGATTGCTTTTTGGCCACCCCAGCAAGATCCACACTCTCTCCCTTCCAATTAAACCGACACGGTTCTCAAACGACCATTGAAATCGGCCTCCTCCAGAACTATTTCTTCGTTCATCGCATGTCGCTGCATTCCACTCTATGCCAGCATCAGTTAGAAAGATCTAAAGTTGATGATTTAGGGAGCAAGGTTCATGAATATTTAGGGGTTGCACATGCAGACCTGCTGTTATGTTGGCTATGCGTGTGCAAGTATTATTGAGTAAATAATGAAAAAGAAAGGCATATATACACGCATAACTCAATCACATGTACATACATATATGTATATATATATGTGTGTAAATAGACCCATGCATGAGTGTGTATATATATATATACAGATACATATATATATATATATACACACACATGTAAATATATATATATATATATATGTATATGTGCGTGTGTTATATATATATATAGTGCTAAATTCAAAAACCCGAACTATAGGCTCCAAACCCGACCCCGGAAATCCCGAAATCGTAGTGGCCAAGCATCCCTCTCCCAAGCAGACAGGGGGTGAGAACTCCTCGGCCAGATGCAGTGCAACAGCAGACCGGGGATGCAGGCATGTAGTCAGCCTCAACCCTACTCCTTGAAGAGCGGTTGGTGTATAAAGCTTCTGTGGTGTTTAAGGTTTAGGGCTATGTAAGCCAAAACACGTTGAAGACCAAACAGTTTGGCGGTCTAGCCCTGCACACTCAACAAGCTTCATATTAGTCAAGACAGTTTGACTCTGGATTTCACAAGGCTTGTTAATTTGATTAATGCATATTCCTGAGTTTAGGTACAGATGGGCCTATTTGAAGAATTAGAAGCCTACGAAACCCTGGCCACAGCACCCCGGCTCCTCCCAGGAAAAGAAAACCCCGCAAAAGGGCCCAGAAAAGGCTGTCTAAACCCCAAATGCCCAAACCCCTATAAGCCCCTAAACCTTTAGCCGTTGAAATCTGGCGAAAACCACTGGCCGAGCATCTTCAACGCTTGCACCCGCGAGACTTTGCGCAGCAGCTCACCTGAGAAGTCCTGCGGGTCGTCGCCTTTCATTCGTTTTTTTTATACGGCTTGATAGGTATGTAGGTATTTTAAGCATCTGTGTATGTATAAATGTATGTGTGCATGCTTGTATGTATGTGTCTATGCAGACAGACAGGCAAACAGACGGGCAGACAGACAGCCAGATCGATGGATGCATTGCTAATTTTCCAGATATACAGACAGATAGATAGATGGATAGTGGATGTATTGATAGATGGTTGGTTGATCAGATAGATGGAATCGTGATAAGTAGGCTTGAGGGTTTAGGGGAGCAAGGAAGCCGCCTGAAACCAACAAGCCTGTCCCTGCCTAAACACTACACCCTGAACTCTAGACCCGAAATTCAAAACCCTAAAATCCGAACTCCCCGAAACCTTATACAATTCCTGTAGACTCCTTAGGGGTTTAGGGTTTAGGGGCCCTTAACTTAGGGTTTAGGGTTTAGGCTAACCCCGTCCTTGCAGTCGTGCAGCAGCTCATCTAAGGCTTGCCTTGATCGGTGGCCCTGGCCGATATCAGCCGCCACGATCATGACCGCAAAGGTTCTTTGCCCCACAGATGCGACCCTCACGCTGGGGGTCTATGGGCTTTAGGCTTTAAGGGTTTAGGGCTTAGGGTTTAGAGTCTATGGGCTTTGGGCTTTAAGGCTTTACGGCTTTAAGGCTTTAAGGGTTTAGGGCTTGGGGTTTAGAGTCTATGGGCTTTAGGCTTTAAGGCTTTAAGGCTTTAAGGGTTTAGGGCTTAGGGTTTAGAGTCTATGGGCTTTAGGCTTTAAGGCTTTAAGG